GTTTTCATAAACCGTTCCATCCCTAGTAAAGATCAATGCAATGCTTTAATAATGCTCTAATTTTTGGACAGTATTTCGACTTTTGTTTTTGTAATTTGAGGTATTTTTTTTTTATATATATATATAATGATGCACAAAAGAGCCCTTCTTTATTTGACTTTTTATTGAGTATTGTGGGTTTTTGATTTGTTTCTTGTTTGGTTGCTGGGATCTTGTGAAAGATCTTGTGACCTCCAAAAACATGTTAAGACCTAATCAACTCCAGCAACCTCTTTTAAAATTGATTTTAAGTTAAAACACAACAGAATTACATTGTCAGCATATAAAGCTTAACAATGAACAACATTTACAGTCCTTACACCTTTTAGGTTTGCATTTTTATGAGCAGCCATAACTATTGGCCCAATGTCAATGGTAAACAGTAGTGGAAACATTGGACAACCTTGTCGAAGAGGTTGAAAGGGCAATCCATTGGTCGGAAGAGCAACTGAAGAACTTCCCCTTTATAAAGGATCTATGCAATCCATGTTTCTAACAAAGGTGTTATAGCTGGCAAGAGAGGGGGAAAGGGCAACTACCTAGTGCCTCACAATACATTGGAAATAAGACAGGTAGGAATTTATCCTTAAAGTTTAATTCAGGGGGTATACTATCCGGTCAAGGGGTCCAACCAAACTTTTTGTTTTTTGTATTGCTTTAATTGAATGTTTACACAAAAGTAAAGTAAACTAAGTTAACTAAGTAAATAAAAAACTAAGTAAACTAAAAGTCTTACTGAGGTTCTCTGCTAGTTTTTTAATTAAAATGTGTCACTGTTTATCTTTCCATGCATAAAATATGCATGTAATCATGCATGTAGGCATGTGTGTATTTAGCATACATACATAAACGCATACTAATGTCTGTACAAACCATTTTATAATTGTCATCTTATAAACTTAAACGCAAACAGGAGACTTTCTTACTGTCACTACTATGTATTTGGTGGATATAAGTGTATGTTATCATTCTCTGGCATATCTTGGCTGTGATCCTAAGCTGCTTTTCACTCGATTGTTTTTTTGCTCTTTTTATACCACACTATTTTCTGAAATGTGATGATGGAAATTAATGTAGCCATGATATCCTTGAATTAAATAAGCTAGATTGTTGTAAAGGTGATATATAAAATTCACTGTAAGCAAGCGACCTGTATATAATGTAGAATCTGACTTTTGATTAGCATCTACTTTAAGAGTTGCTTCCTTAAGGTCAGTCCAAACTTTAAGTGGTAGACTAACAGTTACATCTGAGGCAACATCTCCCTGCAGGCAAAGAGTGGAGTCAGTTTGTCAGACTAACATTCAGGTCCCCTGACCCAGGTACTGCTTCCTGGCTACACAATGTTACTTTAGTTGAACATCCTCCTCAACAGCAGAAGTCTGGTTAGGTCCATATTTGTCTCTGTGTAAACAATGAAGCCCAACAACTTCCAGATTTATAATGAGCACACCGTCTATGTGTATCCTACCCATTTCTTTTGGACACTCTCATACACATGAAAATGCCTTAGTATGGTCTTCTTTCTGCATGTGTGTCTTCCAGCACACCTCAGATAATTGCCATCTCCTTGGTGACCAGGTGACCCATGCAAGCAATTAGTGAGTCCATAACAGCCTCAGTGCCGGCGAGTATAAACAGATGCACTGCATGCATTATGTAAAATACAGTCCCAGAGAAAGTCTTCCACCTGGCCCTAGCCGCCTTTAATCTGATCCGTTCCTATCATGGGCCCAGTGTGGAAGTGCAAAAACAGAACACCCCCATCAGGAAGAAGCCACGTCTGTGCCGCGCCTCCTGAACAGGAGGTGGGTAATACAAAGGAGCATCAGGGGAAAAGATAGGACAGAGGCAGTGACTTGCGAGACAAACCTTTAAACTTAAAACTCCCTTGTTTCAAATGTGTTGCTTTTCATGGCCCTCATTTTCCATTCGCGTCACAGACTAAAACAAAAAAACGCTATTGTGCTGTGAATGTACCAACCCGCACAGTAGTGAGAACAAATTTTAAAACATGGCTGTCTTGTTAACATATCAAAAATACAGATCGTGTGTGCCAGCAGCAGCTGTAGAAGACTAACTTGCACTTTTAGTTTCAAGGTCTTTTTACACATTCATAACACCACATACATTTCCCTTTTTTTTTCTAGGTCTTGCCAGGAGAATATCAACTATTCTGTTTCCCAGCTGCCTTCTGTGCCCCAGCGTTTCTACTGGGTTGAATACTGACCATGGAAAAACTTTTCTGCTTCAAGTAGAAGTCTTGGTCATTATTAACAGCATCAATTTAGGAATAACTACAACACAGATTGTTACGCTGCTACAATAACCCAAAAAATACTAAACAGGGTCAATGACCAAAAAGAACAAATCAAGGGTAATTTTGATAGTTATAGCCAACAATTTTACAGTGACAGTCTTTAAGACGTGTGAAATTCAAGAACTGGGGGCTAAATCAGACTTATACCTGCAATTTATTTGACCCCAAGAGCCAAAGGAGTCAAATTGTGTCATGAACCATTATGTTCTTTTGAAGTGCACAAGTGACTACATTTTTTTTTTTTTTTTACATAAAGCATACTTCTCTGGTTATATAACTTTACTCCCATTTATTCGGGACCATTTATTAATCAAAGTTTCATTTAAAGAATCAATGGTGCCACAGCGATCAGATATAAAATCAGTTCAACACCCCTCGGCTTTAATAAGTAACATGGATGGATGGATGGATGGATGGATGGATGGATG